TCTGACCCCACCCCCACATACAGCGTCACAAACCAGCGACCTGGGTGGCCCTGCCCTCGTGAACATCTAAGGCTCCACTCCTATGTAACAGGCACAAACAGATAAAAACATGGCTCAAGAACAACTCAGAGCCCCAGAGCCAATGAATCTAAGTGATGAAGAAATAGCCAAACTTTCAGATGCACAGTTCAAAACACTGGTGATCAGGATGCTCACAGAACTGGTTGGTTTTAGTCACAAATTAGAGGAACATATGAAGACTAAACTAATTGAAATGAATGGTAATGCACAGGAAACCAATAGTAATGGAAAAGAAACTGGGACTCAAATCAGTTTCAAAACAAACTGGGAAGACTTCCGCCAAGATGGAGGCATAGGTGGATAAGCTGTACCTTCTCACACAACCAAGTTTAGAGAAAACAAAATATTAGCAACAGAAAACACAGCCAGAACAGAGAAAATTGAACTTTTCGGAAGTTTGTTAACAACAAATTCTTCAGCCTGACCGGTAAGGGGCGAAACCAAGCAGCTGGTGGAGCAGGGTTGCACAGGAAAACTTGGTCAGACGGACTCAGGCGCACAGAATCCACGTGCAGGGTTGGGCCTAGTGAGTGACCGAGTGAGAGACCAAGTGAGCAACCACGGGGGAAACAAGGAGGGAGCAGGGCTGCGGGTCGACTGTGGTCGCGTATTGGTGTGCGGATAGACAAGCGAGGGAGTGGGCGATTGGACCGGGACCCAAGCGGTCCCCGCGGCAGCGGAGGGCGCCGCCATTTCCCTGCTCTGACCACGCCCCCACATACAGCGTCACAACCCAGCGACCTGGGAGTCCAAGGCGCCGCTCCTCACACTTAAAGGGCGCGCGAACAGACCAAAAATGGCTCAAGAAGATCTCAAAGCCCCAGAGCCTATAAATCTAAGTGATGAAGAAATAGCAAAACTCTCAGACACACAGTTTAAAACACTGGTGATCAGGATCCTCACAGAACTGGTTGATTATAGCCACAAATTAGACAAATATATGAAGGTGAAACTAATTGAAATGAATGGAATTGCACAGGAAACCAACAGCAATGAAAAGGAAACTGGGACTCAAATCAATGGAGTGGACCAGAAGAAAGCAAATAATGGCCAAACAGAAAAGAGTGAAGAAGCAAGAATTCAAAGAAATGAGGAGAGTCTTAGGAACCTCTAGGACATCTTTAAATGCTCCAACATCCGAATTATAGGGGTACCAGAAGGGGGAAAGGCACAGCCACCAGTGGAAAACTTATTTGAACAAATAATAAAGGAGAATTTCCCCAATCTGGCAAAGGAAATAGACTTCCAGGAAATCCAGGAAGCTCAGAGAGTCCCAAAGAAGTTGGACCCAAGAAGGAACACACCAAGGCACATCATCATTACATTACCCAAGATTAAAATGAAGGAGAGAATCCTGGAAGCAGCAAGAGATAAGGGGACAGTCACCTACAAAGGAGTTCCCATCAGATTGTCAGTGGATTTCTCAAAAGAGACCTTACAGGCAAGAAGGGGCTGGAAAGAAGTATTCCAAGTCATGAAAGGCAATGATCTACATCCAAGATTGCTCTATCCAGCAAAGCTTTCATTTAGAATGGAAGGGCAGATAAAGTGCTTCTCAGATAAGATCAAATTCAAGGAGTTCATCATTACCAAACCCTTATTATATGAAATGTTAAAGGGACTTACTTACCTAAGAAAAAGAAGATAAAAAAGATGAACAGTGAAAGGACAGCAAACTCACAGTTAAGAACCACACCTAAAACAAAAGCAAACTAAGAGGACAGCTAGATCAGGAGTGAAGCATAGAAATGAAGATCACATGGAGGGTTAGCAACAGGGGAGTGGGAGGAGGAGAAGGGGGGAGAAGGTACAGAAAATAAGTACCATAGACAGTAGATAGAAAATAGGGGGGATGGTAAGAATAGTAGGGGAAATACAGAATCTAAAGAACTTGAGACATGTGTTCATGAACTAAAGGGGGGGAATGGTGGGGGAGGGGTGTGCAGGGTGGAGGGGAATGGAGGGGGGAATAGAACAAATGTAATGGCATAATCAATAAAATAAAAAATATATATAAAAAAGGAAGAAAAAGACTAACTGAGATGCACAGTGTACCCACTAATTAGCAAAATTAGGAAACCCTCAAAATAAGTGTTGATAAGTACGTGGAACCCCACTCACATTGGTGCAGTGGGGTGACGTGGTGCAGCCCCCAGGAAGACAATCTGGGATTAGCTGGGAGGTGGGACCAGGTCGCGCCCCAGGAGACAGCCCACGCCTGGTGGGGAGTCAGGGCTCAATTTTTTCGTAACAGCGACAGTGATGATGGTGCCCCGGGCATTTGCTGTCAGCAAAACGAATCAAACGTGTTCACAGGACAGACGGACAACCAGTGAGTGAAAAAAATCAAGAGCAGATGGCTGTATGTGGTCGCATGTTCTTAGAAGCTAAAAAAAAAATAAATTTTTCAGAGATACATGTGCACGTAGTTACGTGCTTTTTGAAAAAGAAATAACAAAGGAAAAGGTGAACATGAAACTGAGAGTCGTGGTCGTCTCTCCTGAAGTGGGGACAGAAAGGGCCCAGAACACACAGATGCTGAGATGCCGTGTGTACTGAGTTCAGCAGTGGGTTCATAGTTGCTCATTTTATTACCATGCTTCATGATTTCCGTATCTGTTATATATTATATATTTATGTATCAAATATTACATAAAAGTACAGTAAGAAATAAATAACTTTGACAATGAGTGTTAAAAGGATTACAGTGTATATACCACACTGTGAAATTTGGGGGGTGAAGCAAATAGGTAACAAGACATTTACATTTTTTGTTGTTTTGGTCTAAAAGTGCCACCCGAGCATAAGAGAAGCTGTATTTGCTCAGAGGAGCGGGGATACAGGGCATAAGAACCCAGAACACCCAGAGGGAATGTACTCCTACCCCCGTGCAGACACGGGGTGAGATGAGCAGAAGCCCCACCAGAGTTCCAGGGAGTCTCGCCCACAGCGTCGGGTTAATGTGCAGGCAGAGGGCCGGGAGCAGAAGTGCGAATACAGGTGGGTTTGCAGAAAAAGTGAACATGGGGGATCTAGATTAGTCTCCTTTTCAAACTGTTTAGTGATGAAATAAGAGAGAAAATTAGATTTAAGAAGAGAGCAAGTTAGCTTCTGTTTTCTTCAGGGAGACTTCAGGGTTATTCTTCCCAGGCCCACTCTGCTTTTGTCTGATGCCTGTGTTAGAGGGAAACATCCGGGCCCATGGAGCAGCTTTGCTAAGCAGTTAAGAAAGGTTCCACATCCGCCCTAGGGACACATGGGTATGTGCCGCTACAGGATGTTCATGGTGTCTCCATCCAGTTAGTGTTCCCTTTTCACTATTGTCAGGACATGGAGAACGAAGGAAGGGTGAGTGAAGAAACAGTGAACAGACACGCAGGAACTAATAAGGGGTTTTTTTTTGAACGCTTACTTTCAAAAAAAGCATTTTAAAAGTAAATATTCCTTTCGAAAGTTGTTTAGATAAAGCTCTGCCCTTAGACTATGTCTGGTCCCCAGTCTCAATGAATGTTTTTTGAATGAATACTGAATACTTAAGAAGCCACAAGTAATTTCAATTTCTTGTGGTCTTGCAATCTGGAGGCCTTTTAATCTGGAAGTAAGAGAAGCCACAGAATAAACTATAGCATTATCTCTCAGGTATAAATCATTTAACGCTTTTAAAAAATAAATATAAAAGGTGAAATCCTACATTCACAGTCCTTTTAAAGAAAAACGTGCTTCTTCAAATACATTTTTTTGGTTGTGGGGATCACATGGTACTCTTACACCCCCTGAGGGTAACATTATCTCTCCATTGATTTTATTTTAGGGGTATTTCGCAAGAAAATTTTAGAAGTAGTAAGTACAGCTTTCGATTTGCATTTTACACATTTGTATGAGAAGATGGAGCAAGGAGGAAAGACACTGATCTCTAACACCTGGAGAGGGCTGACCCCTTTGATAAAACACCCGCACATTACTTTTCCCGGGCTTCACCGGTTCTTGACTACACCATGGAACGGGAACATTCAGCATCCAGTTTTACAGGTTGGGAAGCCAAGATGACTAAACCTCAGCTGGAGTCCTTCCGAGTCCGGGTGAGAGCGGTGCTGCCTGCTGTTAAAAAAGAGAGTGGGTGACACTTGTTCCCGTGGTAGGGGCGGCTTTTTGCACGTCAAAGTCCACGGCCACAGAGGAGCCGCGCTCCGCTCTGCATACTTCAGCACGGCTGAGGGCCAGTGGGTGGAAAATTACCGCCCGGAGCACTAAGGGCGGGGGCGCGTTACTGAGAGCAGGACGTGGGCTTGTCTACAAAAAGCTGCAGGATGAGAAACTGGATCCCTTATCAGAGGCAACGAGGCCCCAAGGGATGATTTCGCAGGTTCCTGGCCCCGCTTGCAGGCCCAGGTATAGGCCTAGGTGATTCGAGGGCTTGGAGACAGAGGGAAGGTCTTTGTCGCTGCTCAGCCGTGGAGGAGAGCTGGCGGCAGCCGGGTCGCTGGGGTCCTGCCCGGCCCGAGGTCTCCCGGCCAAGCAGCAAACACCCGCAGGGTCACAGCGCGGCGGTCCTGCCGCACCGGAGACGCCCCCAGGCTCCACCCAGCCACCGCGCGTCCTGCTTTAGGGGCAGCCTCCGCGGGCGGGGCGGGGCATCGCGCACTGATTGGTGGAGCGCCCTTGAGTGGCGTCCCGCGGCCCCGCCCCCGCCGCGCCCGCTCGGTCGGGGAGGCAGCGCGGCGCTGCCGGTCCCGTGCTGCGCCGCCCCTTCCCCGCGTTCCCCATCCTTAAAGCTCGAGCGCGGGCGCCCCGCCTGTTGGAGAGGGCGCTGCGATCCGGGCGGTGAGCCGCGGGGTGGGCCGGGCCGGCGGAGAGCGTCCGAGGAGCGTCGGCCCCGACCGGGAGGTTGCGGCGCTGTGGGGGAGGGTCCGGCGCCATAGCTGCCGTCCGACCGCCGCCTGTCCGGTTCGCCCTCGGCGGCTGCCCGGTCGGGACTCGTGCGTGAGTCGGCGCGCTGTCCGCCGCCCGGGCCGCGACCATGTTCGACCGGACGCGGCTGCCGTACGTGGCCCTGGATCTACTGTGCGTGCTGCTGGGTACGTCCGCGCCGCCCCGCGCCGCCCCCTGCCGCCGCCGGGACCCCGCTTGGCGGCTGCGCCCCGCCTCCCGCCCGCCAGTCCGCGCCCGCCCGGCCCGCCGCGCCTGCTGCTGCCCCCGGCGTAGGGTGCCCTCAGCTCTGCCGCTTCAGGAGCTACCGGAGTCGCGGGCTGCAGTCCCGGGGCGGGGGCGGGGGGTCCCGCAGACAGGCGCCACCGCCCGCTTTATCTCCCTGCTGGGAAGCAGTTTAATTTTCCGTCCATAAAAGGCCAGAACGCTCCTAATTAGAAGGTGTTACCAGGTTGTAAATTGTCAGGTTGCGAGGGGGTGAGGGTGCCAGGTTTCTGCCTCTAGGTCTGGAGAAGCTTGCTTTGCTTTTTTTTTGGGGGGGGCACCCCAGAACTGCCGCTGCTCCTCCGCGCGCCCCTCGCCTGCCGGCTTTGCTCTGCTGGGACAGCACTTGTGCGGCGTCGCCGTGACGGGAGCGCTCAGCCCCGGCTCGCCCTTGGCTCCTTCTCTTGGACAAGACAGTACTGAAGGCGTCTGAACAGCGATAGGCGTTGAAGGGAGGCACTTTCACCTTTTAAAATACGCAGTGTTGTTCAGGCAGGGCGTTCTGAACTCCTTACATGCGTGGGAACCGCGGTAAGATCCGCGGGAGGGCTGAGTAGCCCTGCCTCCACGTGGGTATCTGCGTCTCGGTCCCCAGCTGGGCGACTCGGGGGCAGTCCAGTGCGGGGCTGCGGGGCTCCTTGGTGGCAGGGAACCCTGGGGTCAGCGCAGTCTCGCGCACCTGCCCCAGCCAGGCCGCCTCTGTGCCCGAAGTCTTGCTGAAGGCTCATGCTTTCTGTTACCCGGTGTTTGTGGACGGAGACTCCCTGTTGGTTATTTATGAAACATTTTTATTGTTGACCGAGACACCTCCAGTATTGTTCTGCAGTGAAGGCTAGAACTTCGGGTCAGGGAAGGGAAACGCAATTTTGGAATGGCGTTTTTATAGGAACACAAGTCACAAGTAATCGTTTCAGGTGTCAGGACCTATTAATAATGCCATTAAAATATGTTCCAATTTCCTTATTTTCAACAGAAAGCTTGCCTTTGCATTTTAGCGTGTGCTCAGTGTTCCCACGCTTCACTTACATTTTCATGAAGGAAGAGGGCAATGTTTGGTCAGAGGTAATTGGGTTGTTACCCTGTCGTGGCCATACATCGTGTGCTGCCAGAGTTTCCCCTTTTCCTGCCCTGTGGGAGTTCATAACTTACAGAGCAAACACCAAGCACTGTCCTGCCTGACGAAGGAGACTTAATCGCACTCCGAGGGAGCCACAGCTAATGTGACTCAACGCAGTCCGCCGGGGATGGACAGCGTGTTTGCCTATTAGATGTATGTGGAGCACAGGGCTGTGTGAGAGGTTACAGTTTCCTAGTCTGTTTGCAACCGGGCGCCATTGTCCATTGGCCTTCAGAGGGGACCTGAGAGGCACGGGGTTTTATCAAGGTGACAAAATTGTGCTTCGGGTTTTAAATGTCTTTGATGGTTTTTGGAAAAAGCTTTTTTTGGGGATTTATAAATTGAGTATGTTTTAGGAAAAGAAAGGTGACCTATTTGAAACACGTGTCATCTGCTTTTCTATTATTGGAGTTTTTAATTTTTTTTAAAGTAACCCAGTGTATTGTGGTGATGAGACCCAGGTTCCCTTTTTCTAACTATGGAATGAAGTACTGGCCACTTCAGTGTGGTGATGAGATGCCTGTACAGTTAAAGAGCATCCGCTCTGTTAGCCACAGCAGTGCGGGGTGGAGGGGCACAGTGGTGCAGCAGAGGCAAAATCGTTTTCATGCTGCATTTTGGAAGACAATGTACTTTTTTATAGCAAACTCACCTTTCTAGTGGAGTCCAAGTCATTTTAAATTTATTTTTATTCACCTTCCTGGCAGCCTAAAGTCATGGTAGCAGAGAGAGGGTTACCAACCTGGCATTAACTTTTTCTATGGAAAACTACAGGTAAGAGTTGACTGCACCAGCAGAAAGATGATTAAGCACTTCGCAAGTACAGGGTTATTGGAAAGTGGTTCCTAATTATAATGTAAATGTGTTCCAGGTCCTGGTAATAAGCACCCAGCATCAGACAGTGTATCCACTTGAACAGGACAGTGCTGTGTGTGAGTCACGTGGCTGCTTTATAGTTTCACAGAGGGTGGTGTCTGCCGAAGCGACCATGGAGCAGACCAGCACTTGCACCCCCATGCCAACACCGTCCCCCCTGTGATCATGAACTCCTCTCCCCCCGCCCCCAAACTCTTAGTGCCTTCGGTAGAGCTGGTAAATTCTTGGAAAAAGAGTGAGACTCTCCAGAGAGGACGCGTATTAGGTCCCCTTCTGCAGTGGAGCACCGTCTTGCCACCTTCCTCTGGCTCTCTGAGGATGCGTTCTGTTGAAAAGGCGTGAAGGTCCTGAGCCCGAGAGGGAAGCTGCTCCTCGGAGAGTGATAGCAGGTTGGGGCCCAGTGTGCGGGGCCAGGTCCAGGACAAAGCTTGTTGCTGTTTAGTTGCCGGGGATCATTCCAGGTTTTCTGCACCGTGGTTTTAGGCTGCCAGCCAAGGGACCCCGAGTCCACTGGTGGGCTCAGGGCACGTTGATTGAAGGCTGCCTCTGTGCCAGGTCCTGGAGGTGGTGGGGACATGAAGATGGGTGGCAAAGCCCTGCCCTAAAGAGCTCATGGTCTGGTGAGGGAGGAACAAACAAGCGCTAGGGTACATCGCGATAAGTTGGCTAACAGACATCTGGAGCAGGTGCCCTTTGAGTGCGGAGCAGGGAGTTGTGTTAGGTATGGTTCCGCGTAGATAAGCTGGCCGTCGGTTTACTCTTAGAGATGCGGAAATTACAGCGGTTGTCTGGGATTACTTTCAGAGTCTTTTTGTCCCTTTCCCAAACTGATACAGGGCAGCAGGGACTCAGGTACCTGTGTCTGTGACCTGGCTGGGTGCTGTCCCATGCTGTCTAGATTTGGGTGGGACTGGCAAACCTCTGGTGGGCCTGTGTTTTGCTGGGTGGCAGGCACTTAGAACACCTTCTTGTGCCCCTCCACATCTTTTCTCTGCCCTCTGCACTCTGGGAAGTGACTTCCATGGGCTGTGGCAGCTGAGTCCTTGCTCTTAGGTGTCTGGTTGGATGTGGCCGATGGGACGTGAGCAGGAGGCCTGGCTGAGCCAGTTCCCTGCAGCTGGTTTGGGTTGCCAGAGCGTCTCGGTGTTTTGTGAGCGGGTCACACCTTCTATTCAGTGGCCTCTGCCAGCCAGCTCCAGTTACAGATCTCTCTGGGTTCTGGTAACCCCCTTAGCTGCCCCGAAGGCCTGGAGGTGGCGGTGCTTCCTGGTCTTGGCCCCCTGGTCCTGGCCCCCGGGGCCTGCTCCCCCTCCCGTGCTGCTCCCCGACACCCTGCCTCTGCCTGGGAAGATGGTTCCCCCCCTGAGTCCTCCTCAGTACCTGATGGGAGGTGCTGCTTATTCGCCTGGACTCCACTGATCATCCTCACGTGTGTCCAAAACAGATCGAAGGTGGCTTCCCTTTCTGGGTCGCCGCCGGCTGCAGCTGCCCATGACGGTGGGTGCAAACAGGGACCCGTGGCCTCTGCCATGGGGGCTTGCTGGGAAGGGAGGGGTCCCGGTGTCCCAGCTCCGAATGCCGTACGCCACTCTGACAGGTGGAAGCCACAGTTAGAGCAAAAAACCTTGGCGGTGAATACGAGGTGGTGGTGGAATTCTGTCCCTTGTTCTTCCCTGGTGGCTGTCACCGTAACGTCGCCCTCCTTCTGCCCCGTAAGTGCTGTCCCTGAGGAGTCTGACCCTCAACCCAGCCTCTTTCTCCGGGGAAAAACCAGGTAGTTAGTGAAAGAGTCACTTGCTAACTAGTCTCTAGCATTTGTGCCCTTCCTTTCCTCTTAACATTTATTGATTTGAGCACTCATTCTTGAGAACATGTTTATTTAATATTCAGTGCACCTGTGCATTTACGAGGTACTGAAGATAAAAATAAATAAGTGTAGACGGTGCCCTGTTTAGGACAGTTTGATTTTTTTAAAAGATTTTATTTATTTACTTTTAGAGAGAGGGGAAGGGAGGGAGAGAAACATCCATCACAAACCCCCACCTGAGGACCTGGCCTGAAACCCAGGCCTGTGCCCTGACTGGGAATCAAACTGGCAACTCTGGTTCTCAGGTCAGTGCTCAGACCACTGAGCCACCCCAGCCAGGGCTTTTTTTTGGACTTGACAATGGCCTGAAGGTGATACACATGCAGTGGAAACCACGCGTAGAATGTTAACTTTTGATCCTTCCCTGGTCTCTGGTGTCGTGGCAGACACATGGTACTCTGGTGATGCCGGGCATGGCAGCCTGGTGCCAGCCCGAGGGCCGAGAGCAGGTGCCCTGCAGTGTTCCTGCCTCGGGTGGAATTCGAGGCGCTGGTCCTGCCCTGGGCACGTTCGGGGAGGGCACGGGTGAGGTGGAGCACGTGCACTCTCAGCTCATGGTGGGTTTGTGGGGGCCGGACCCCACTGGGAGTCGAGGGGCGTCTCTAAGAGAAGCGAAGAGGACACCGTGCTCGTCCCAATCACTCGCCCTGTCTCCTTCTGTTACCCAGACTCCTTTGCTTCTGAGGGAAGCCAGCTGGGTTGTTTCTCTTCCCTCCCAGGCACAGAGAAGGGGAGGAGTCTCACAAAACAAGCAAAAATTTGTCAAACCTGGCATGTTCTTGGGTCAGACTGCAGCCCTGTTGCAAGCCAAGGCCTTTTCTGTCTTTAAATGGCCAGCTCGGGACGAAAGCAGAGACCCGATGGAAGTTGCTGCTCTGGCTGCCGCTGCTGTTGCACAGTTGAGTTTCCACTTGAACTTGCCTCGCTTGGAACAGAGATGGAAACGTTCAGAGGATGTGTCCCCGCTATGGCTTTTACGAACTGTCAGCTCCTTACGTTCTCTCTGAACTGCAGCCTTCGGAAAC